GCACAAACTTATCTTGTGCCCTCATTGGCCATGTGCGCGTTCGTGTGGGTTGGAGGAGGGGCTCTGTAAGGAAGTGGCAGATTTTTTCCGGCTGTGTATTTTCAAATTCTAGCGCACTCGAGCTGGTTTCTCCTAAATTACCTACCCCACCTTTAACTCTGATTGTAATTATTGTTTTTATTGCATACACTGTGCCTTATTTCTATCCCAAACATCAATTTTAATCCTCTCAGTTTTTTGTAAGCTTTTACTTTGAATGTATACATATTTATACACTAACATGTAGTAAGGTTCCTTGACAGTCATTTGATTATCAGATGTATTTAGGATGCTATTATTAAATGTATTTGAAGAGTTGTTATAAGCACAGTTAGTGTAAGAGAATACTCTATAATGACATCCAAATAAATACTTACAAGTGTGGGTATCTCACCGTAGATCGCAGGGATGCAAAATTATTTGGCATTTGAGAAGTTATATCTTACACAGGCTCCGCCCTCTACTTGACTCTATGGGTACTACTCAACCATGCTATGCGAGCATTCACCTACTGAGATACATAAACGTAGCCGGCCAATCGGGGGCGAGCCTACCTAAATGCCACCAGGCCCACAGTATATAAGGCGGCCACGCCTCCTGACTGTCATCCTTTTCTCTTCAGCGAGCAGGACAACCCCTGACAGAGAAAGTAGAACGTTTGAAAGAAGAAGAAAGAAGTTATCATACCTTCATGGAGTCGCCACTTCTAGAGACCCGGGCCTGTCCTTCGTGCCCTGGCTTAATAGCAGGCGCCGATCCCCACCACCTCTGCTTCGAGTGTTTGGGGGACCAGGATATGGCCGAGGCGGTGCCATTCACGTTCGCCATTCCAGCGGGGCGGATGGCTCCGTTTGCCGGGGAGGAGGATGACGAGGACCTCTCGTTGTCGGGCACTTCCGGGTCCGGCGTCCATGGAAGTCCACCGCCCAGGTCTGTATTTCCCCCTGGTGATGACCATGGCGGCGGAGCGTGGCAGCCCATCTGCGCCCAGCAGGCAGCAAGCTGGGCAGAGAGCCGCGTGACAGGGCGGCTGCAAATAAACACGGGTGTGTTTGGCGTCTCGCTCATTGCTCTTCCGCAAGATGCCCAGAGCAGTCCCATACCTCACCAGCAGGTGACCTGTGGTTGTGGGCCTCAGAGAATGTTTTTATCTCTGAAGGCCCCCCACATTCCGGGACTGGAGAACAGGGCGGCCGGCCTCATGTCAAGAGGCGGGCCCCTGCCAGACGAATGGTGGTTCTCCCTGGCTCGGCAGGACAATCCACCCTGGGGGGTGGACACGTTTGCACACGAGCCATGGCCAAGATAGCTGCTCTACGCCTTTCCACCGCAGGTGCAATAGGGGCGTTACAGCGACCAGTGGTGCATGTCTCCACCCCGCAATGGGATCTGCCGTTGGTGCTCGAGGCTCTGGTCACAGAACCATTTGAGCCTCTGGAGCTCTCCTCCCTGAAGGCACTATCATTGAAAACAGCTTTGCTGCTTGCCTTGACTTCGGCCAAGAGAGTGTGCGAGCTGACCGCTCTGTCGATGCACCCGAGTTGCCTTTTGATTCGGGGTGACCGTAGCGGGGCGACACTCAGACCGAACCCCTCCTTTGTTCCCAAGAACCTAAGGAGTTTGTTCAGGTCGAGGGCTATACAGTTAGACGGCTTCAGTCTTCCACCCCATATTGGGGACAGGGAAGCTAAATTGCACCTCCTCTGCCCGGTGCGTGCGCTGGCATGTTATGTAGGGCCCACGGCTTCCATTAGGCACACTGAACAGCTGTTTGTGTGCTTTGGGGATGGTGTGGCCGGTAAAGCTCTGTCCAAGAAACGCCTGAGAGGATGGCTCTGCGGGTGCATTTCACTTGCCTATGGACAGGCGGGGAGAGCCTTCCCCACTGGGGTCCATGCACACTCTACACGTGGTATAGCTGTATCAACAGCCTTGTTCAACGGCGTGAGTGTGGAGGACATATGCACGGCGGCGTCTTGGTCTACTCCAGGCCCCTTCATAAGGTTTTATCTCTTGGACATGTCTGGCTCCTTCTCATCGTCTGTGCTTGCTGGGGCAGGCGGGGAGAGCCTTCCCCACTATCGTCCATGCACACTCTACACGAGGCAAGCGTGTGTGAGTGTGGGGGACATGGTGCACTTACGTTCTCCCCATGCTCTTTAGGGACCCGGGAAACATGGTGCACGGTAAGCCCCATGCAGGGCTGGAGGACTCTCCCCGCCAGCCTGTGGGTGGGCGGGGAGAGCCTTCCTCACTATTTTCCATGCACACTCTACACAAGGTAAGCGTGTGTGAGTGTGCTCTACCCAGCCAAGTAAACTGCGGCCCCGACTTCTCCACGGCCTCAACCGGATGAGAGGAAGTTGGGGTGCAGTGGCTGTTAACCAAAGGCCGGTCAGGGGCAGTGTGATGGGTCGATGTTGTTGAACGACAGGGCGTTTATCCATCAGGGCTCCACCCACTGTACCCATAGAGTCCAGTAGAGGGCGGAGCCTGTGTAAGATATAACGGGGGGGGGGGGGGGGGGGTTAGATAAGTTATATAAGCACAGGCGGAGCCCTCTACCTGGGGGCCCTGTCTTTACTATGCCGCTCGCTGAAGAGGGTGTAAGATGACAGTCAGGAGGAGTGGCCGCCTTATATACTGTGGGCCTGCGCGCGCATTCAGGTAGGCTCGCCCCGATTGGCCGGCTACGTTTATGTATCTCAATGAGGTGAATGCTCGCATAGCATGGTTGAGAGTAGTACCCATAGAGTCCAGTAGAGGGCTCCGCCTGTGCTTATATAACTAGGGTTACAATACGTAACCCCCCGTTTCTTCCCATGGAATCTGTAACAAAAACTCCTTATTTATCTTTAGGTGTAAAGCTGACAGACACAGTGGTTCTCAAACTGATTGCAGTCAATGTTCTTGATAATGTAACAAAATAACAATCAGTTTGACCCTTCTTGTTGCAATTCTCTCACTGATAATGGCTGAAACAAATGTTTCAGCCACTGGCCTAACTTTGTAATCACACTATTGATATGTTGGTACTAGAGTTTAAGTACACAGTAAACCAGGGCTTCTCAAACTCCGGACCGAACTGCAAATCAATCCGGACCGAACCCTGTGTCCCATAAAAAAATTATACAAAATAAAAAAATAAAAACGTTCTGATTCTGATTAATTAATGTATATTTTCTTGTGTCTGACGTGTTGTGAGAATGAACGTGCATGTACTTGTGTGCGCGAGCGTGACACGCATTGCAGACCGCAAGTTAACCGCAAGTTTACCTTGACTTTCTAATGCTTTTAATGCCTTTTTTGTCGAGGTTCAAGGCATTGGCTGCAGACAAACAGTGCCATTTCTCCCACTAGTTCAAGCCACCATACTGTATGTATGTATTGAATGTGTGTGTGTATACAGGGGCGCCATTTGCAGACAGGCAAGGCAGGCAAGTGCTTGGACCAGAAGGGGGCCCCCAAAGAAGGTAGATTAAGAAGGTCCACAGTAACGACAACATGAAACACCCTTTAAAGGGCCCATGTCATGCTTTTCTGGTTATTACCCATCCCCTTGTGTGTTATGAAGGTTTTTATGCATGTAAATGGTGTGCAGAGTCACAAACCCTCAAAGTACACCCTGTAGCGAGTAAAACTCTAACACAGAAAATACCTCCCCAAAACGCCTCGTTGGAGATACGTCACTGTCCATTTGATTCAATCCTTGACCAATCCGTGGAGCTGTTACGTTACGTCCGCGGAGCCGTTACGTTAAGCCCCCGCTGATTGGTCCAAATTGACCAATCCACGGACTTCCTCACACACACACATCTGTGTGCAGGGAGCGGGAGCTCTGCTGATTTCTCCTCCCTGGCTGCAGGCTGATAACAGACAGTTGGGATCGCGGCGAAATTCTCTCTGCAGACCCATTCTCACAGCGTTTATCAACCTTTTTCTTACTCAATATCAAGCCACACTTATTGTTTTTACTTCGGCTGTGACTTTGTGTGTGCTCAGGATGAGTTTGGCTGTGTTTCGCTGTGTATCCTAAACAAGGAAACAACACCTCCACGGAGCTCAGCGCGATTCACAACGTCCCGACCAATCAGAGCACACTGTGCTCACAGGGAGGGTGGGGGCTGGAGCTATTGGAGCTACAACGAGCCGTTAAAGGCAGAGAGTGAAATTCAGTGAATACACGTAGTATACAGAGATGCTGTATGAGAAACCAATGTGAGTTTGGAAAATTGCACAATATAAATCTATTCTAGTAGACCTCAACAATGGAATTATGATCAGTGGAAATGGCCATGACATGGGCCCTTTAATGTACTGCAACGACATGTCGGGAAACCCCCTCAAGGAGGGCCAATGCATAGCCCATGCATAGCGCAAACTGCTTCTTAATTTCAGTTTCGTTCATTGATCCAGACCAGTGACCTTGTATAAAATTCACAAGTGGACCTTTAATAAAAAAGTTTGAGTACCCCTGCAGTAAACCTTTAAGCTATTATGAACTTGGATATAAAAGATAGATAAAGGTAGCCTCAACAAAGTGACTCTTACTCGTTGTGTGAAGAGAAAAGAGAAGAAAAAAAGAATATAACATTAAAACAGGTTGGTGAGAGTGACAGGATGGTGATGTTTTTTTTGATCCAACAGTTTTTTCCTCTCATTCTCAGGTGCTCCGCTCGTTTACGTCCATGTGCCGTCAACCCTGAGGACACTTATGAAGTCAGACCCAAAAAGAAGCTGAAATAAAAGGTGGGACTGGATATTGTCAATAAAATATGTTGACGAGCGATAATGATTAATGGATTGGTTTCTTACTTACAGTCACAGAAGATTTTTCAGTTTTTTGTGATTGTGTCAAATCAAATTCCATCCAAATGAATCAGCTAAGGATCATTATCATCAATTAACTAAATGACCGTTAACATAACACGCAGCACAATAATATGACCGGATGACTGCATTCTTTGTTTTTATTTCCAAACCATCATCATCAGCTCAAAGTTTGAGACGCAGCTGGCATTAATATCGACAGCTATTCTTGTAATGCGAACAATAAGGCTTGAAAACAATAATACAAACATAGCATTCTGGACAATGTTAAACAATACAGTCTTTGTGATAAAACACTCCGTGAAGTAGACATTGTGTTTTTTAATAAATACACTTTTAACACAGTACAGCCACACTCAAGGTGTGTAACATGTTGTCCACAGCTAAGTAATGTGCTGAGAAATGAGAGAAGGCAGAACATGTCTCTGTGTGTCTATCGTTAATAAGTTACTAAGTCAGTAGTTTGTTGCACAGGACGATTATTTAAACAGGACTAGTTAAACTTATTATTACTAAGCAATTACTTATTTTGTGTGTTTACCTAATATCATAATTGATATAAATCATGTGGGAAAAAATCTTATTTATCCTAAGTGTAATTACGTATCGTACTTAAAGTTAAAGGTTTCTTACGAGTTTAAATGATGATGCGATAACGGACGACTGCTGAAAGACCTTATCGATGCTCTACACATTTGATCTTTGGTGTCCATATCCAGATCCAAAGTTGTGCTTCCATGCCTTACCAGAATATTAAACACTATGAGCATACTTTTATTTCTGACCTTAAAAAATATGTCATTGCTTATTGTTGCAGGAAAAGCTCTTATCTAGAACCACTCAGCTTTCACTTAAAACAACATTAAAGTTGCTATTTTAAACGAGACCACACACACATTTATCTATTATTATTATAATATATGCAGGCAAACCTTTTAATAGTAATGTAGTCTTGTTCCCTTTTATTCACTTAGTAGACTTCATTTGTTGTAAAGACGTTTAAATATACCCTGTCAGTGGAAAAAATAACCAAGGCCTCTTATTTATAATAACACTGCATCGCCACTTGTACGAAAGTCATACTTATGAAAAACTACAAGCACCCATTTTTTGTAATAAATGTCTAGCGGCGTTAAGCACTTACCTTAAAGTTGTTTTATTGCATTGAATGTGACCCTTGAAAGCAACATGAAGCGTTACATTACATAGGACAAGCAAACCGTGTGTACGCTGCCACCCTGCAGCCGAGGAGCTGCTCCTGTTGAAGAGGGACGGCTCCATCTTGTTTTGTTTCCTCCCTGCTGCTTTGGTCACGACACATTTACCCCTGTCATCTGTTCCTTTTTCTTGGGTTGGGTTTTCTCCCCTCTTATTTGTCGATGAGTTTGACCAGGCTCTGGCGAAGGTCATTGAGGTCAAAGATCTTGATGTCCAGAATTTCGATGGCCCTCTGGATTTCAGACTCCATGCGATCCCGCTCCTCCAGAGAGTTACTCAGCGTCTGCTCTGTGTTCTGGATGCGGCGCTCCATCTCTGCGTTACGCATCTCCGTCTCCTACAGAGGAGAGGAAGCTGTTGTCAGTTGAAAGCAACACAAAACAAGGGTCGAAAGAAGACATCTGAAAATGAATAATTAATTTTTTTATTTAACTTTTGTCTATTTGCGTAGATTCCACCTCAATTTACCCAAAACAAGGATTATATAATGCTTCATGGTTGCATTGATACATTTGTCTACTCTACTCACCTGTAGTGTATTGCAAAATGTATGGATTTTCGCAAAAAACATATATTTAAAGGCGATTTTCTTTTCTCATACTCATACATAAATCTTCACTTCACTTCAGAACATTCATAGACCAAACTTTCCAGTTTTCGTCCTAAGTTTATTCTTAGGTTTTTAACTGAGGGTTTTATTTATATATTATTCATAGCCTGATACATAACATTTTCTTCCTAAAAACATGGAAAAAGTAGTTTTTTGAACAGCTGTTACAGCTTTTTCTGATTCATGGAGTTATACAAAGAGATTATCCCTCATAAAATAAAATAAAAAATGTCATCAAAATGAAACAAGACCTTTGACCCGTCTTTATCCAATGTTCAGGTTAATGTTTTTTAAATGTATTCAAATTACCACACACAAGTGATAAAACATGTCTTAATATAAGTTATCAACTAGGGAAGTTTCATCCACCCTTTTGCCCCCTTAACTGCTGATTACCTCACTATTACTTGACAATGTGTATGTAATTTGAAAAAGCATACCATTGTAGTAATAATGTCCCTCCTACCCGTAATCTGTGAATGGCCTCGTCCCTGTCGTGCTCCATGTCGTGGTACTCCACTTTCTTGTTTTGCAAAATGTGGATTTCCTGTAAAAGATTTCAAAGGTAGTTTGAGTCGATTATTCTTCCATCGACACCTGTTAGCGCAGCTCCCTGCCTCGGACCCCCGCTGATGATAATAATGAAATTGTAACCACAGACCTCATCCTTGGCCTTCAGCAGGGCCTCCAGCTCCTCCAGGGACTGGGTCAGCTCGTCCTTCAGCAGGTCGCTGGGGCCGTGGCCCCCATGGGCCTCTATCTCAGCCAACTTACAAAAAAACAAATTCAATGTTCAGTTTATGGAACAAGGATTTACACAAATATCTTAAATATGAAGTCTAAATTATATTAAAACGAGGATTAGGGTTATGATTGGACCAAGCATTTGCTCCAATTTATGAAATAGTTGACCTACTGTTAAAGTTGAGGTTGTTTTTTTTGTCCTCAAAAACGAGTTTTCTTTTACTGGTTTTGAATTGATGTCAGATTTCTTTGTGTTTATTTGAGTTGTTGAAAAAAACCAAAAAAGGACAACCTTTTAAATTGCCTCTGCGTCAGACAGAGACAGGCTGGATTATTTTTAACCATGTATGGTCGGGACAAGAAGGAGCGGTAGAAAGAAGAAAAAAGAAAGCGCAGAGTAGATGCCAGCTCCCTCTGGTGATTTCTCATTTTTTCCTAACTGGGGCATTGAAAGTAGGATATCGCTGGCCTACAAACCCCTCTCCCTCTCTCTCTCTCACCACCCCAGAGACGTGAACCATTTTCAGCCACCTGGTCCCCTTCCTTAGATAGAGAACAAGCTCAGTCCAAAGAAGACAGGGTTCTCACTCGTTTTAATTAATTTGATGATGTAGATCAAAAAGAAAAAACAATTTCTTGGTCAAATACCGATGAGTGGGGGAGAATTAAAGAGGTAGTGATCGATACTGTGGAGCTGGGCTATAATGGAAAGGGATCACGGTATTAAAGCTTTGAATAAGAGAGGTTTGTAGTTGTCAGCCTGAGGCGAGGTCACATTCCCAGAGGAATCAGCTACCAGCAAATGTGAAAATACCTTTTATTGATGAGTGAGGAGGGAGCAGGCATTTGCGTTCACTGGAACCTGAGCGGTAAACCAAGTGTTAAAGCCACCTGAGGCGCGGGGAATGTACACCAAACTCCCTGGTGGTGAAATGCAACGTGACCGTGTGCATGGTGAACTGATTCAACCATTAGGAAACGCCTTGATTAAAGGAGGGAAACGCCTGCAGTGCAAGTCATTTCATAGACTGATGAAGTGTGTTACCAGCCGCCTGAGCAACTTGTCCTTTTTTTATTTTGCTGAACAAGTGCTTACCAAACCAATGAAAGGAAGTGACCGGCCAATCAAAAGCAGCATGACCTCTCTGGGCCGGCTCGGTCATTACAGAGTGACAGGCCGTTTCTCAATCGCGAGGATATTGGCTTCCAAGCCAATATTTCAAAGATGCTACGTCATCGAGTGCCGCCGAAGGACTGTTCCAATCTCCAGCATACTTGGAATTCCACCGAGGCCGCGTCATTGGTTTGGGGGAAATTTCGAGGCTGCACATGGGTAGACTTCGCGTCCTTAAAATCCCCACAATGCTTTGCGCATGGACCAATTTCCCCAAATCTGTGGCGGAAGATGTAAGGCGGGGCCTCTCATATGACGCACACCTGCACACTTGCTAGCCTGTTCCACTCTTCGTTTTCCGAATGCCAGGAAGTATTCTTGCCTTGCTTCTGAAGCAAGATGCTCGGCTCGGCTGTGCTACCAAGCCAGCATCCTCGCGATTGAGAAACGGCCACTGAGTCCTGTCAGCATCACCTCCTCTTGTTTGAGCGAGGCTTTACTTTACTCCTGCTACAGCCTCACAGCTCCAGCATTGATTTTTACATGTGACCTCAGCCATCAGATTCTCTGCAGGTTACCACAGAATACACATTTTCATAACTATTTACTGCCATTTTATAGAAAATACATGATAGTTGCAGATCTACTTTTAAGTCTTTGGCTCAATAATACAGGAAGGGTTTTTGACCTGATTTAACTCAGGGGTAGACATTAAGGGTAAAATTCCACTGGCCAGTACAATTTCATTATCACTGGCCCCACCATTGTAACCACTGGCCCAAGAGCATTCGTCCAAAAAAATCGACATTTCTGCTATGAGTATTATTATTTACACTTTCTGCCTTCCTGTCATTATCAGGAGTTAGAAATGTAATGGCTATGTAATAGAGTAGAACCTTCATTATCCTAAACTGCTGGGACATTTCCCTATAGCGAATATACCTTTATATTTTCTACTCTTCACTTACCTCTTCTTCTCATACTCCCTGTCACTCCTTTAACTCCTCCGGTGACTTTCTTATATCTGAAGATTGTTTTTTGCCAGGCGCTTGGCCGGTTACCGGTGGTTTTAAAAACATTTTGGCGAATGGTTAGGTGGCGCGAAAGTCTTTAGTGAAGGAGCGCTCTACTCCGCAGCAAACAGCTGTTTGCTTTTCATCCAACAATAACAACCGCCTCACGAAACGCTATGTTATAGAGTTAATAAACGAAACAATTTAACAAAATTGCTTGTCAAAATACCAATACTACAGGACAATGTGATTTAATGCTTACTGTTTTTTTTTTTTTTTTTTTTTTTAAACCAATATTTTTAGTGGTTCGAGCGGGCAAGTGGAAAGTACGTTATGCTGGCCCGGGGTGTCTAATGGCAGCACGTAGCACGGTTTACGCCTGGCCAGTAACTACCCCAGTTACTAAACTGTAATGGAAACGCAGCTTAAAGTGAGCCTGGCCTACCAAGGCCAAACTAAGCTGTGCTAAACCGTGCTAGGTCCTGCAGTGGAAAAGCGCCATAAATAGTGCTTTTGGGCCAGCGGGCCATTTATAATGTCTAGCCCTGTAACTGCAGTGGGGTTTTCTCTTTGAACAGATCTGTTTCAACACTCACCTCTGGTAGAGAGGTCTCTATAGTTCATGACATAAATCAAGTTTAATCTCCATCTATCACAAGATTAAAACACACAATGTTTGCTAGTTGATTGAGATGGCTGACATGAAGATATAAACACAAAAATTATCTATGGGCTAATTTATGCTTTTCAATGAATATACTAATAGTTGCTAATTCAATGTTCAGTGTAAGTGCACTTAAGGAGAGCAACCCAAAGTGGCTGTGTTTCGATTGGAGGGTCACCTGCTCTCTGAGTCTGTCCGTCTCCTCCTGATAGGCTGCCAGCTGTTTCTTCCACTGCTCCACATTAGCATTAGCCTCATGCAGCGCTGCCACCAGCTTGGTGTTGCTGTCCTGCAGAGTGAAGAGCTCGGTATCCAGGTTCATCTCACAGATCGACCTAAAAAAAAAACACACACAACTGTGAACAAGTGAACCATGGTTCATGTAATACTGTGTAAATAATCCTTGTAATAATATGGCTTAAAACTGTCTCGATGTAGAACACCGCAATATTGAAACAAACTGAATATTTGAGGTTGCTGTGAAGTGATAGGATGACAAAATGTTGGCCTGGTTAACAGGAGAGTTAAGAAGCCTATACCAAGGAATGCAGCCTGCAGCAGCATTCATATTGCGGACTGATCTTTTCACGGGTCTTAACAAAGCAAAGATTGCAAAAAGCACACTGTCCCTACAATACTCCTCTAAATATAAGTCATCTTCATCATAAGACAGAATGTGACACTAATATACTTTTGTTCACGTAAATAAGAGTTGTGACATGTCCCTATAATTTAGATTGTCAAATTTAATTTAATCTGTGAGCATCAGCGAACAAAGAAGAAGAAACAGTTGTCATTGCAAATTGTTGTGAAAGGAAAATGGCATCATACAGTCTTCTTTTGTGTAGTTATTCACATTTCTTTCCAGTACAATTGTGTTAAATGGTTTCAGATCAAATCTGTGTGGCTAAAAATCGAAATCTTACTTGGCACAGCATTTAATAATGTATTGAGTTCTGATATGTGGCACATCTATTGTAAAACTATTCCTATTTTATGTGTACACCTATACTATGATACACTATCTGATTCTATAAATTATTAACATAGGAGACTGTTAAATGTTATCAATCCTTTTCCTTACAATCTGCAGAAAAGATCAGTCATGTTCTCGTTGCTTCCTTTATCCCTCGCCTTTGTTCGTTCCCTTGACATCTAGAAGCTTGAGTTTGTCCCATGGCAACAGTTTACCATGGCAACCACTGAGGAGCAGTTTTCTATCGTAGTAACTGGACTGTAGGAAATAAAAGCACAGTGGGTGGCTCAGACCGACTTATGAAGGGATGTTAACGAGCCTGACTCTGTGTCACATGTGTCCACAGGAGCCCCTTCACTCCCTCAAAAGCTTCACAAATCTAATGACGTCAAACTGTAATCAACCCTTGAAATAAAAAAACATGTTAATGCTTAGAGGTAGGATGTTAAAGGTGATGCATAACATGCTCAAATGCAATGAATTGTATTGATTAAAGGGGCAGTATTATGCAAATGTTCAGGTTTCATATTTGTATTTTGTGACACCACAGTAACATTTTTGAATGCTTAAATGTTCTCTATTTTCTCATACTGCCTGTGCTGCAGCACCTCTTTTCACCCTCTGTCTGAAACCAGAGTCCAGTCTGCTCTGATTGGTTAGCTGGCCGGCTCTGTTTAGAGATGTCCCGCCCCTTAGCATATCACGTACAACGTGTTGGAGCGCTAGCCAATAGAAGCGTGAGTGTTACATAGTGATGTCATTATGTTAGGGAAGTAAACAAAGGACTAAAATCAAGGTGTTTCAGGCAGGAAGGGAGTGGGGGCAAGAAACTCCCTTTGGCGTGAACTTCGGGATTATAGCGTGCACAAAAACGTATATATAACACACTACAGTAAAGAGAAAACCCCAAAAAGCATAATAGGGCCGTTTTAAATGACATCTATAACTTTATGTAGTTCTCATGGAGTTGGGTATAACTTGGTGTTACGTGACTAAAATACCACACTAGTACCACGTGATAACTGAAACGACTATATGACAACTCCATCTACTGATGACGACCATGAGATGTGGCTGAAAGCTGCAGACACGTTTTAGAAGATGGAACTGTGCGCTAAGATTTGTTTTGTTAAACTATGTCCATTGAAAAAAGGAAAAGAAAATTCAAGGTTTGTTAGATGCATGGTTGTGGACAATGGATACAATGTATTCTTTCTAATCACATAAACACCAAATTGAAACAAGATTCTTAACAACTCCCGAACTGAAGGTGAGATTGGTGTGACTCAGAAACAGGACAATAACGTGTTTGTGGTCTCCTCAGTTTCCACTCTGAGTGTGTGTGTTGCTCAGTTACCCTTCAGAGAGCATCTTCTTAATGCGCTCCTTCTCGGAGGACAGGGTGATGTCTGCACTCTGGCTGCGGAACAGCTTGTCCTCGGGTCCGTTCACACACATCACCGGTGGAGACTGGAGTTCGTCCGAGAGGTCCTGAGAAACACATCAGTAAATGCACTCTACTGATAACACACACAGCATCACAACGCAGGGCTGCATCTCATCAACAAACCCAGAGAGAAGACTACTTCTTTCATGGGAACTTATTCCAGATCTTCAGCAGAATTATTGTATTGTCCTGTCTTGATCTCATGATGATTTAAGTTAAGTTAAAGTTAAGTTAAGTTAAAGTCTTTTATTGTCATTGTACACAGAGTATAACGAGATTCAGAGTGCAACTCTGTCCCGGTGTGCAAAAAATACAAACACATACAGAACACTAAAAAACACGGCAATAGGACAGACAACATAAACAATCATACGGGGGAATAAATAGTTAAAAATATTGATATAAAAATAGTATATAAAGTGCATTAAAAGTGTGTGTATGTGTGAGAATGGTTATGGTTATTGCATTATGTGTGGTGGTTAAGCAGCCTGACGGCCCAGGGGTAGAAACTGTTTTTGAGTCTGTTTGTCCGTGACTTGAAGCTCCTGTATCTTCTCCCAGAAGGCAGGAGAGAGAACAGTCTGTGACCTGGGTGAGAGCTGTCCTTAATTATTTTGTTAGCTCTGTTGCGGCAGCGGGAGGTGGAGATGTGTTCCAGAGAGGGCAGGGGGCAGCCGATGGTTTTCTCTACCATCCTGATCACTCTCTGCAGGGCTTTCTTGTCCGCAGCTGAGCATCCTGCATACCACCCCGAGATGGACATTTGAGCTGTATCCTTAAGAAAGCTATGTTTTCTTATCAAATACATTTATGAGCTTTGCCTACTTGTGTAATGTATATGGTATAATGGTAGTGTGGTCCATTATAGTGTATTCTAACGTGTTTAAAATTGATATTGCTTATTCTATAGATGCTTGTTTAGATTGTAGTTGTACTGTATAGATCGAGTGTGGTCTTCTGTGTGAAACTTAGGTAGCTTAATATTGTTTTATGTGTACGTTTATGTTCTTTTTTGACAATCACGTAAATATACATGATAAATATATAACTCTTTCTACTGTTGACATGTATGTATGTATGTATATATATATATATATATATATATATATATATATATATATATATATATATATATATATATAGTGCTTTTGTTTTTGTTTATGCTCACTTATCTTTCTACCATAACAGCAAGTATAAATACATTCAAAATCCAAGGAAAGAAAAATGAAAGACTTTCAAAGTGTATTTGCACAAATATTTCCTTTTGCTTCAGTGTCTGTTATTCAAGAGTCAGAAGATAAAACAATAACGACAGACTCACCTGTGAGAACTACAGAGGAAATCCAAAGGAAGAAAGAAACAGACAAAGAAACATGTCATCACAAAGCTCACCATACAAAGAACTTTTTATAAATATGTCAACCACAACAGTTATTCAGCTCAGGGCTACTTAGTAAGAATCAAGCACAAAGAATCGCAGTTGGCAAATATCTGGAATTTCTCCAAAGTCGATAAAGGACGTGGAGCGAGAGACATCACTTGGAATCTGTTCAGCCGTAGATTTCAAAAGGAAATGGGCATTTTTCTCATGACCAAGCAGATGTAACTGATGGGTAATTATTCTCTATTGATCAAAAAGCCCTGAGCTGACTGAAGTTTCATCATTACCGTTTTTGTGAGGCTTCTCAGAGCAGTGAATGCGGCGCACCGCTGAGCAGCATGGGATAATTTTACCACCGTCCTAGTTTCCCTCACTTTCTCTTTCCTCCGAGACGAGTGACCCAGCTCCTCTCGCTCCTTTCTCTCTTTCCATCCCTCCTATGACTTAATAACAGCGGCCCTGTCTAATAGCTGAAATGCTGCATTCTCCTAACCTTGGCCAGTGCTTAAAGTGACTCTTCAATCTCAAAAATAGCAAAGCAGATACATCACAGGAAGTTTCGATGGATCATGACAACCTTTTCACATCTGCCTGATACCTGCAGAGGCTTGCTATACTTTTAATGTTCACGTTTCTGTTCCCCTCACCTGAGGAGCAGCGATGGAAAGCGCAGTGTTGGCCAGTTCTTTGTCCTGCGACTTCTCTCTTGCCAGACGAGCTGCATCTTTCACCTCCTTAAACTTTTCGGAGAACTTTTCCAAAGAGGGTGATAAAAGGGTTCAGGTAATGAATCATTAATAATGCAGCACTCATTATCCTGAGTACAGTGATTAAGGAGGTTATTAAAAATAAAGAAGATAAGTATTTAATTAGTTTTCATCAGTGATTTGACCTCTGTTGACTTTGAGCTTTACCTGGTGCAGCTGTTGCTCTGTAGCGAACCCCAGCCCGTACACAGTGTTGGCCCTGCTGTCCGCCCACTGACCGAACTTCTGGGACGTCTTGGTAAACGTCATGCTGGGTGTGACCGAGCAGTTGATGATCGCCTGTAGAAGCAGAGACAACAAATATGACCATCCCTGCACGTCTACTGTATGTAGGTCAGCAGCAGATACAATTTGAAATAAGAGAGCATGTTGTTCCTTTTTAGAGGACATTTTGTTTTTCCAGGCCTTGACTATACCTTACTCTCATTCTAGGACTATATAACATATATCCCTGTAGCACTTGAGGATCTATGGCATCACACAATTATGGTGCAAAGCAAATATAAACTACTCAATTAACTTTACCCTATTCGATGCTTTACTCATAGATGAGAAAAAAGTGTGGAATTATATAATTCACTTCATAGATTTAACTTTAAGGGGTACACTATTGTCTCTATTGATTAATGAGCTAGCATGAGCTATCAGCAACTCTGGTAGCTTCATTTAACACATCATATTTTTGTTAAACCTCTCCTGCTTCCTAAATAGCAACATTGTCCAACCCTAGTTTATAATGGATTTTCAGTTACAAATGTTGGGTTTCAGAATTGAGAAAGATCTTTACTAAATATATTGCACACCTGCCTGTACAAGCTGAGCAATTCTCTTCATGTCGCATTAACTAATCTTATTGTGTAAAATTGGTTAAGTGCCTATTTCCTTTCCTTTTAGACACTGCTTCTAGGATGTTAAGCAAATCAAAGTACATGACAATTTATCAGGTACAAAGATTTCATTCATTAAATTACCTAAATTGCCTGCATTGTAAATACGGCAAAATGGTCATTTTTAACCTCAACAGACTGTGTAAACCCTTTGTGTTTACGATGTTTTCTAGAAAAGTGAAGAACTCAGGAAAAAACATCTGTGCTTATTGTGACATTTGCAAAGCATTAACTTTCCTCTGGGATTCCCTTCAATCAGCTTTTTTCAAACACAAGTCCTCCCTTGAGACATGTTTGTTCTTTTCGAAAATCACTGTTCTGAAAATGATCAAAAACTGAAGCTCTGCCAAGACACAACCTCTTATTGTTCCAAGCAGATTCAGAGCACAGGAACATTTAAATCACATTTATGACAAAGCAGTACAGACACAAAACAGCACATCCAACAGGTTATCCTCCGTCACCCCGGGGCAACAAATATATTAGACCGGATCTATTTATAAATCTTTTTATGTCATCTGAAACCTTACAATAATGGATTTTAAATCCCAGAATTGAAGGGCAATAACAGATTAGGAGTTACGCTGTCTTGTCCTCCTCTTTTCAACAAATGATTGGATGAACTGGTCTACATTTCTGCGCTGACATGTTTGACATAACATGTTGGACGGTGGGGACAGCGGAGAGATTATTGTGGACCCAGACACAAGTCCTGGCAGGATTGGGCTGGTGACCGACAAACTCCCCCCCCCGCAAAGCCTTCTGGGAGTCAGAAATGTGGGTCAGACCAGAGGTGCTAAGAAGAAATCAGATAGACCCGACCCGACCCCTCCTCCTCAGCGATTGATGTGGCCCCTCCCTCATAATCTAAATCCATAGAGCTGCCAGAAAGATGCTCCAGCTGCTGATTTGTTGACGCCTACTGTGGCTTATTTCACTATATATTTCTTAACCTTGAAGATTTGTCTGGTGGGAGCACTGCTGTTGACGAGGAAAATGAATTTGAAGCTGGTTTGTTTGGCCATTGACCGTTAGTACAAATACTGAATAGCCTCTTGAGTTGCCAAGGACACCATCTTTACTGCAACCAAACAAAATAACACTACTGTGAGAAAACCACTTAGAAATTGGGTGTTTTTTTTGTTGAAAAATGCACATTTTAGCCCTGGATATTAAATCTACTGGAACTATTTATATTATTTTGTTAATATATCATTAGTTTCATTGTTTTAACATTTTGGCCACATAATGAGCATTTCCCTCACCTTGGTCCCGCCCACGCTGATGATGCGGTAGACGTTACGGTTGGCATCATAGAAGAAAGACACAGTGACGGCATGTTTGCTGGCGGGGATCCAGTTCCTCTTGGTGGCGGGGTCGATCTGGAAAACATGGGCCCGGGAACTGAAGATTGGCTGCTCCCTGGAGGAGGAAGCACAGCCATGGTGATGAGAAAATTGTTTCTGTACATGGAAATGTCAACGAGCAAAATTCGGAACATTTTAAAATCATAAAAACAAGACAAATGTCTTTGCTCATGATTTGAGTAATAAAAAACCTAAATGGTCCTCCATTAAACCCCTTACATTTTTCTTCATTTAAACACTTAAATTGTCCTCCATTAAATCACTTAAAAAGCCCTCCATTAAAACCCATTATCATACAACTGTTCCAAGTGTGTCCCTTTTATGTTTAAAACAAGATCCTTCGTTATTTGCATAACTCCACTTCTCCATCTGCCATCCAGAGACAAATGCTGGCTTTCTCCCACACTGTTCCCTGCGTCATTCCCCATACAGGGCTGAGACTTAGCTGGCAAATGATGTTGACTCAAAACGCTCTGAACCCTCTCTCGAGTCGGTCACCCTCCACCCTCGCTCTGCTCCTGCCAGAGATGTATCCTGGATACGAGGTAAATATATCAAAGCAACAGAGTCCTCAGTGTTGGGAGTCGGTTTAGCCAGTCATGTGGTGTGAACAGCAAGAGGTCTTTCTCTCTGCTAACTCCTTTGTTCCTCTTTTCCTCAAATTATTATTTATATCAACGCAAAGGCAAAAACAAATGAAGACAAAACAACCATTTAACCGCCAACAACAGCCATTCTCACGACCCTGTGAGGCTTCACTTTGGCACAGCAGTACTTTGTGGTAAATGCTAACGTCAGCATGCTAAACTTCTCGGGTTCACAATGCTCACAGGTTGATGTGTACCAGGAGCAATGTTTATTATGTCCACCATCTTACTTTGCCTTGTTAGCATGCAAACACTTCCCTTAATACTCAGAAAAACTGAGGCTGATGGATCAGTTTTTTAGGTATTAGGTCATAAACCAAACTATAGTAAAAATGTAACTTCCTGGTGGAACTAGAAGAACAATTAGGGGGTCCCCAAAGTCAGTGGGATACATCCTCTGAGGAATAGGAATGTCTGTGCCAAATTTCATGGCAGATCTAATAGTTGTTGAGAGGTTTCAGCCAATCGACTAACATTGCTATGCCTAGAGCCATGCCACTTATGTGGCTAACAACAACAATAACAAACAAAAACAGAAAAACACTAATGTCAATGTGATGACAGAACAAAGACCTGACTGACTATGTGTCCATACCATCCTCACAAACACGACACACAGACAGCTCCTTACATACAGGGCTGAGATGTTTGTTGTAAATGTCTTCTATTAAATGTCTTCAAAATGAAATGTTTTGATAAAGACAATACCGACATTGATTTGACTGTTAGAAATAAAAAAAATCATGACAAGATGCTTCTGTTCTCTAAATATTCGCTGTTTGTCTCCATCGCAAAGTTAAAATAAAAAAGAATAGAAACCAGGACACTTCTTTTCTATGCACCATTGTACGTTGCAGCGGCTGTTCCCAATAGAACTGCCTTTTTTTGGCCAGTCATTTTACATTTATATCTGACCCCATTAGTGAAACACAAATCCAATAACGTTCTCTTTGTGTTTTTCTGCGCAGGGAAATCAAGGTAAAATGACATGTTTTTTAGACTCCGTCCTACATGCACTGTGTTTGTAAGATGTGTCTGTAATGGTGTTCATATGAATGGTGTCATTTTGATAGCTGACCCAGTCCTGTCTGATAATAATAAGTGTACTTCTCCTTCTCACCTCACAGTAATCCTCCCCATATTCCAACTAACCATTAACCATTATGTACAGAGGTCAACATATCCCGACTATTACACCCTGGTATGAGTAAAGTTTCCAAAATACAATGTTTCTGATGCAGAGAACACATTTCACTGTGTGTGCTGTGTGCTCTGCATGTGTGACCATTAAATAGGGTTTCATCCCTCCCAATATTATATTATTATTATTAAATGGCCTCATCTCTTTTCATGGTCCCCAGTTTATACAGTTTCAGTCAAATAACGGGAGCATAGAAAAAGAAACTCTGATGACAGAAGGAGAAGAGAAAAAGCTTTTTCTATTATTATGAAAACAAATTAAAAGTCTATATTAGTGTATATGTTTATTACATTTCTATTGTTGGAGATCTCATTGGACATTATATTTAGGCTGACGTAATCGTAGGAGGTCGATTTATTGTGCCAATATGTCATGTGTCATGTTCTGGAGGTTTTACATACCGACATGGTTGATTTATTGTTTATCAATATGTCTATAAACTTCCATGAGGGATGTGTCATGTAAAAGAACAGACACTAAAAAACACAGCAACAATTCATTTAGTGAAATTATCAGTTCTAATGTTGACTATTTTCTCAATATTTGTGTTAAGTCTGTCACAAAATCGTAAATAAATGCTGATTAGTTTCCTAAAACACAAAAGGGCGTCTGCAAATTACTGTTTTTGTCCAAGAAGCTGTCGAAAGATATTCAGATAATCATCATATGGTAAGACAAAGAAAAACAGCTTATCCTAAGTCATAGTCATGTTATATATAGTCATAACTGTACATATCACTTAATAATACACTTTGACCACCCATCAAACAAATACTAACAGTTAGGTCAACCCCCTTGCCTTTAAACAACACAAAAGACGCACATTAAGATGACACTCTAAATGAAGCGTTCCCAAAGGGCAGTGGAGAAAGACTTCACACTCCAAACATCAAGTTATCCCCTCATGCTTTGACCTTGCCTCAGGTTTGGTGTTTGATGGGATTTACCAGAGCTACATGTTCAGCTTCACAACAACTAGGAATCAAACCTGCAACCTCCTTGTTGGATGTTACACTATCAAGTTTGAACAGAGGATCATTGTGTGTGTGTCGACACTTGGAAATTGGTGTTGCAACACTATGGCGGTGTAAAAATAAAAACTGTGTGTGTGCTCATGTTTCTCAGCATGTTTTCTGCTCACTGGTCAGCCCCGACACTTCTGGAGGATGTTCAGTCCCTCGACCTTCATCCTCAGCAGACGGATGTGGCCTTCAAGGCTTAAAGGGGGTCTCTAAGCATAACAAAGCCTGGCAGTGATTGAATGGGGGTTGCGGCTGCCCCTCATGATGAACAACTCTAATTCCTACCACAATCTGCTTTGCTGGGTCTTTCCTGTCACTGTCTGATCTGCTCTATCTAAATACTTTCAATAGAGATGTTGTACATTAGGACAGATTTCTAAATGTAGGCATTTAGCCCCAACCCCCCAGTCTAAAGACAGGTAGTGAAACAAAACAGTTGGTGGCAGTACCTTTACACATTCATATTTAACAAATCAAAAATAAGTTTGACATTATTAGTCAATAAATTAGCAGTTTTATACATCAATGCCCTGTTATGATCTCTGTGTAACCGCTCCTTGGTCATTTCTTATTTACAACTGCAATAAAAGCATCTTAAGTAGAGTCATTAATGAGAATTATGGTTCAAATAATATGAAGACTCTTGGGCCAAACAGAGGAAAATATTACAGAAGATTATGGCTTTAATTTCACAGATTTATCTGAAAAGCCCCAGCTGAATCAGTGTTGGTAAGAAACCCAGGCACTGCTTTAATAATAATAATAATAATAATAATAATAATAATAATTAATTACAGCGCTTTTCCAAGGGCTCAAAGCGCTTTACATTACATATTACACATATCAGACATGTAACAGTGAATACTGTGGACAATACTCACAGGAGCAAATTAAAGTAAGAATGCTTTTAGATGATGCAAGTTTCCTGAATCTGTATTCTAATAATACAATATGTTTTAATAATGAGTATTATCCTAATTATTCAAGTTAAGACAAACTTTCCCTTGTTGGGAAATCAAGAATCAATTTGTCCTGGCAACCTAAGGTCAAAAGAAATCAAATGTAGTATGGGACAAGCTTGTTCTTACCTTTCTCTGTGGTGAGGAAACATCTTAAAAGGTGGCTGTGGCTTCTTTTCTACACAGGAGAGAGTTGCAGCTTCCATTAACCCACGGTTCAAATATAAACATAAAAGGCAAACTCTTTGCTTTAACATTTCATTTTAAACCTAATTAAATAGGCAAACTCACCCCATTTCGGTGTAGACCTCTGGCGACCCTTTGTTTTATCTCACAATAATTCCGCACTGCTGTCCCAGTCTGCTCTTTCTTTCACTCTGAGCTAAAAAATGCTTTATTCTCCAGGGGGAGGCTTCACCGCAAAGCGCCGCACACAGCCTGCTGCAGCCCGCAAAGTGTCCCTGCCGTAACCCGCAAAGTGTACGTGCCGTCCGGTCCTGACCACCGGCGTCCACTGTTCACCTCTGCGGAGCCCGAGGAGTCACAACCCGGCGGAGGCAGAGCTGCTGACCCCGGCGACTGAAGTTACTGCGTTCCTGCGAGTGTCCATCTTCCGCTGGAGAACAAACAGCCTCTTTGTTTCTGCCCTCCTCAGTGTTGCTCAGTTCTCTCCTCTTTGTAGTTTTACAGCTTTCTTCCAGCCGGCTGCACGCATTCAACAGTGGGACTCCGCCGACGGTAGAGTACCACCTGCTGGCTCCACAGGCTCCGAGCACCGCTACAGCTGCAGGAGGCAGAGAAACAGTGTCAACCTGCCTGCAGCCAATGAGCCTGCATGTGTGTGTGCATACTGCAAACCGGATCTTATAGTCTGCTTGGCGCGAACCAGTTTTAAGGCTTAATGTAATATAGTTCCCGAGGAAAGTCATGACTTAAAAATACGTCCATTTAGGGGTCGGGCCTAAAGCTGTTATAAATAGTTTTTTAAATGTTGAATTCATACATTTTTTAAATTGCAAGTTCGGATTTAAGAGAGCATACATGATAGTAATGAGTAAATTAGTCCTGAATAGAAGATGTATACCTCCGCCACCAGTGTATCCATTTCTGTCAGAAGTGTGATCACCTCATTGTTTTATTCTATTAGACATTTGCGTAACATTTTCATAATTAATGTCTGCATCCGTGAGTCATGAATAATCTACTAAATCACAATGACCTTGATCTTTAACTACCAAATTCAAATCAATTCATCCTTGAGTCCAAGTAAACTTTGTGCCAAATGTGAAGATATACAGACATAATGCCTGTTACTGGCATGGAGGCTTTAACACAGAAATACAACAGCGAAGTCAAGTTGAAGCAGCAAAGAAGGGAATTTTAATCTTCCAAGAATATCAACAGGAGAATCTTAGTGAGCATTATTGTAAAAACACCATCAGTGGGCAGAAATACAAAATGTTCCAAACACAAAACTTAATTTTCAGTTCAGTTGTTAACAGCAATAGGCCAAACAAATTCCTTCATTCGAAAATATAAGATGGAAAAATGAAAAAAAACTACTTTTATTCATTAAATGAAATGGGAGCATCTAGATAGGAATGGTGATCTTATCCACATAGGTTGTGAGATAAATTAAGAGTAAACTAATCTACAGAGAATATACAGAAAGGGGGAATACATACATATTATTACAATAAAAGTTGTCCAAAGTGTTATATTATCAATATATAATACTGTACTGACGACATGAAACTAAACTAAGTACACCTAAAAACAATTAGAAAGTGATTATAACAAGCTTCATGGAAACATCGTCCAGCTAAAACATGTAAAATAAGACCAAACGGCACACGTAGAGCTCTGAATCAAAGTTCACTAATGTCTTTTGAAGTTATACAACTCTGGCATAATGCATAACTATATGTGACAGTTTGACATATTTCTATTAGTTCAACACTTAAAGGTGGGGTAGGTAATTTTGGAGAAACGAGCTTGAGTGCGCTAGAATTAGAAAATACACAGCCGGAACAAATCTGCCACTTCCTTACAGAGCCCCTCCTTCAACACACGAACGCGCACATGACCAATGAGGGCACGAGATACATTTGTGCACAGATCGAAAGCTGACAGGCAGGTAGGCCATCCAGTTATTTTAGCCGGGCTGGCTAAAATGATTGGTCGTGCTTTTTACAGTATTACGGCTTCCACAGATGACATTTTTTTATGGATTTTTTGTCAAAGCACTTAAGATATTCATTGCTATCGGGATGTTAAGAGCATTCCATGGAATATAACAAAAAGTGTATCTCGAGCCGGTTTCTCAAACGTACCTACCCCACCTTTAAGGAAACCAAAGGACAGAAACAAATAGGGGAAGACGACAATGTTAAGTTTTTGTCCTTGCGTCTTAATCATTTAAAGAGGTCTTTATGCCACATTTTAGGGTTACAGTGCACGTTCAACATATAACTTTGCTAATCTGTGGGCATTTCAAAATGTTTAATATCTCTTACCATTCTGACCTGGTGAAAACTATGATCACGTTTCTTTTCAACACATTTGTTTTAAGATCGGGATCGGAACCTAGAGGTTTTACTCATCATGGGTACAGAGTAGTTGTGTGTAGTATGTTAGTAGTTGTGTGTAGTATGTTAGTAGTTATGTCTAGTATGTTATTAGTTATGTCTAGGATGTTAGTAGTTATGTCTAGTATGTTAGTAGTTATGTCTAGGATGTTAGTAGTTATGTCTAGTATGTTAGTAGTTATGTCTAGTATGTTAGTAGTTATGTCTAGTATGTTAGTTATGTCTACTCAAGATGATTTATTTTCAGAGATAATCTCAATGTATGCAGTTTTTTTTGTTTTGGAGCAGGGTCTTTGCTGCCCTCTTGATTTGGCTTTTTTGATGCCTTTTGCTATAGATGCTCAAGATGATCCCTGTCTGCAAGCTTTAGTGGCTTTAGGGTCAGCAGGAAAGAATGACTGCTTAATTCAGTCATAAGTTAGGGTGTTCACTCACTCTTTAACACTAGTTTAAAGATACATTTAGAAGAGCAAAAACTAAAATGTCTCTCTTTATTCAGATGTTTAGAGCCTTAGATCTGGAGACAAAGATGTTTTTATTTTACGTTTATATCTGTAAGAGCTAAATCCCCCACTTGTTCCTTGCAGACCGCCTCGAGAAAGCCCTGCCTTGAAAGACGGCTACTAACTAGCTTACATCACTGAATACCTCAATGAAAACAGCTTTTATTTTAGAACACTTTCCAACTCAAAGCTGAGAAAGAAAAGCAAATGATCCGTTGTTAAGTAATCCTCAAATTTCATTGGAACTCTTTGAGGCACGACAAGCACTTTTGAGTTCACTTGAGAAGCCAGACAGTGTTTTCACACTCATCTCTCCTGGATGCTTCAATGTTAAATATTTAGAGCCTCAATTCAAGCTTTGAGTTTAAAAAAAGTTGCCATAACAACTGCTTCAAGAGCTGTGTCCCCTTTTGTCTTCTCTCTCTCCAAGCTACAGAAGACGTCCTGTTGAGTTAGCTTGGAGGACATTTGTGAGAGACACTTTTCCTCCATCTTTCTCAGCTTTTGGAGCAAGATTCCCAACCTCTACTGCCTGAAGATCTAAGAGGGTTCAGGGACTCGCGAGGGACAAGATGACACAGTCGCCCCCCATTCCCGCCTCCAGAATCGTTGGGACCTCCACCCTCCTTGACCTGTCGAAGGTCTTGCTTCTCCGACTGCGCTGCTCCGAAAACGACAGCTCTCTCCTTCGCCATGTCCTTGCGTGTGAGCAGCAGTGCCTTCTCTCCCCTTCTCTTGCTCGCTTCCTGTCCAGCTCTACTCCCATGTTTGCGCTCACACTTGTGATTCGTTGGTTTCTCACGGTCTCTCTCCGGTTACTTTCACACAGTGGTGCTTCGGTTGTAGCAGTGGAAAACGGGTATCCATGTTTGTTCTTTTTTGTTATTACCCAGATTAAAATACCATTGAACTAAGCTTCACACAGGCCTAGCTCTTTACCAGCAACCTGTGAGACAAATACAAAAAACAAACACGTTAATACTTGTTTTAGGAAATATTCAGTTGTCAGTTAAGAAATAAACAGATAAACCCTTTATTTAAAATAATAGTGAGAGCAGAGAGTTCAATAAGAATATAGTAGATATAAGGCTGGAGTTAGCGGGCAGTTAGCTTAGCACAAAGACTGAAATCTGGGGAATGCTAGCTAGTTAGGTAACAAAATCCATCCACCAGTTATCTACATGCCACGTCACATATATTAAATATATATACTATTTCTTTGTCGGATGCAGTAACTTCTTAAAGTCTTCAATGTGAAGCTGCCAATAAGCAAAGAAACTCCAGCAAGTTACTGGCCTCTGCCAAGAAATAGTCTGGCACTTATCCCTCCATCATTGAGCAACTGTTGTTTTTACACTTTTTCTACAGGTTTAAGTGGCAACAGATAACTCCCCCTGCCATCTAAGGTTTCCAAGTATACATTTTGTTGGATCTGCTGTCACAAAGTTATATTGTGATTCTTGCAGCAACACAGGACTCACTGCTTCAAGACTTAATTTTACCAGGACATACCCTGTGGCAGACTGAATTGCATAGTGAGGATTATAGGGAATCAACTAAAATGGTGATAGTGTCATCGGTTTATAGCCATTACATTGTGTTATCAACATTTACTTCATTATGGCAAAAACTTGTCTATTGCCTCTTTAACTCAAGGAAGTGAATTGGCTCTTTTTCGAAAATATCAAACTATTAATTTCCGTTCATGGAAACATCTTAGTTTCAGTCCACAGTGGAATTACTTACAGTCTAGTACTGGGACAGTCCAGTCACACCGTGTTGGTAGGCCCGCTCCCCCTGGTAGGTGGAGTCCTGGGACAACGCCACATCAATCTGGGATTTGAACTCGTCTCCTAGGTAACTGTCCTATAATGGGAAAAAAACAAAAAGTTAAAAAGAGGCCAGGCAAAAGTTACGCCTTAATTTCTTTCCAGGCAGAAAAGCAGCAAGTGGTTTGGACAAGATGAAGACGTCTTTGCTTGAAGGGGAAACCTGGACACACACTTGGAATATGTGTGCAAACAGACCCGGCAGTAATACAAAGAACTGGCTTCAGAAAGTGCACATCATAAATCTACTAACTACTGACTTTATAATTGAGATGTTTTCACAATAGATGGCAGTTCAGTGATCGAACCTGAGAGAGTTCAGGCTGTGAGAGCCCGGGCTGGCTCATCTGAGAGGGCTGGCTCATGTTGATGTAGCCCTGCGTCAGCGGGCCCTGGGAGAACGACTGGGAGCCCAGGTCCTGGCTGGCCTGGCTGCCGCTCATGTGGCCTCCATGCCGGTCTGCTCCTCCATTCCCTCCGCTGTGGTTCCCCATGTTGCCGCGGTTTCTTTGACGGCCACCTCGATTCCCGCCTCCTCCTCCACCGCCTGCCTTGCCTTTCATTCCTCCACCACGACCTGGAGGCAGGATATTTGTGTTATAAGTGTTCCATAGCACCAAGGGCCTTTTAAGCATGCCACACTTAGCTACAGCTTGATGTCTCACTCACCTGCTGAGGGTCCATTGACCTGCCCCATGTACCCAGGTGGAGGTATGGGGGGCATCACAAAGTTGAAGGGGATGGGGATGTTCAGGGAATTCATGGGATTGGGGCCGGTGCCGATCATACCAATTTGGTCGTGGGTCTGGAAATACATATTGGATGAACGTCCTGTAGAGGAAAGCAGTACGGGTTAATATTACTTCCTTTTAAATCTAAAACATGG